TATGCGGAGACCGGACTCAGAACGATGTTCAGAGACTAATCAGAATACGTCATGTCAGCAGTACCGAGCACAAAAAATGAAATATATGAGTGATTTCATATTAGAATTTTATATGAGTGTTAAAAATGTAATATTAAATTCTTGGAAAATTTACATACATACCACTTTATAACATCCTATTTACATATCTAACACCTAAAACTTTAATATTACATGAATACCACTCTATATTATTTTAATATCAAATATACCACTTACATTTCTTTCCTACCACTCATATATTTCATTTTTATCACTCATATTTGGTATGAAAATGAACTATGGGTGATATATATGTAATATTAAAATTTTAGATGTTAAATATGTAAATAGAATAGTATTTAGTGATATGTATGTAAATCTCCCTAAATTCTTTGTGTTAGATATGTAAATTAAATAAAATAAAGTGGTATGTATGTAAATCCCCTTTTTTATAATACTTTTTTAATTAATTTTGATTCAACTAAAATTTACAAATAAATTAATTATACATCAAGCTAATTCAATTTGAAGCAAGCCCACTCAAAATCAAATCAATTTGACCTGAGCCTACTCAAATCAATTAAAATTGATTCAGTCTCATTTGAGCCAACTTAGACTCTGGTTGGAATAATTTTTTTGATGCTTTGTTTTTAAAACATCAATTAAAATTTTATTTTATTATTATTTTCTCACTGTTTTTAAAAATCTTGTGATGAAAAACTAATTTTTACAGTTATACTAGTGGAATTTTTTCTATAACAACTTCTTAATCACTTTATAAAACACTGCAACTATTACAAACACACAATTAATCTCCATCAATATTATTTCAATCTACCTCTAACACAGATCAAACCAAATCGTTAACAACCCCAATTACCACACAAATAAAAGTGCATCTATGTATATGACTCACCTTGATCTAGTGATTAGGAGCTCAATTTTAAAGATAATTTTTGTAGAACCAAATATATACGTATGTTTGCATAAATCTATGATTTTTTTTTTTTTTGAAATATGGGCAATTTACCCGCTGCCACTCTGAAGGGAGCGCTTGACAGCGTAATTTATCTCTTGGCGGAACCTAGCGAGGCCGCCCACCAGCATCAGGCTCACACTTGCTATACCCCATTGAAGAGACGATGTCGCAATAGAGAGGATTCAAACCTGAGATAGGGGGTTACCAACCGTGCTCCCCACCAACCACCATAAGCTAAATAACTTACAGTTGAGATCAAATGATAAAGCTTCTGATCAGCAATTTGGCTCAATAGCAAATAACAAATAAATCTCTACTGTAAGTTATTTAGCACAGAACCGCCTATTGCCGATACAGTTAAAGCTTCAAACAAGACAACATATTTCACAGAGTCATACATAGCTAGGATCTGGACTTGAAACAAAATTTATAAAAAAAAATAAGCTAAAAACATTAGAAACACAATAGAACAGTTAAAACAATAAATCTCAACTCCTTAGAGCCTAATAAAAAATCTCCTTGAATTGATATTTTTGAAAGCAAAGCCGAAGAACTGCCAATTCAGCTCTGAAAAGCCATTACCAATCAAAGAAGCCTGGCCCAGCCTTGGAGATCAATTCCTTTCCAGCATCTTCACCCATGGCAACCATGTCATCAAGAGCATAAGGCCCTTTCCTTGAAGTCTCCAGAACTATTAACACCAAAATTTAATGATTTATCAGATAAAATTTAAGCAAGAAAACAAATTCAAAGTATAGATTTATAATAGGCTTGAGGGCTCATTCGGTTGCTTGAAGTTAGAGTATTTGTTTTGAAAAAAGATGACTTTTTTAAATGGGGGATTTAGATCCATATCATTTTCTTTCATGCTATTTACATATCTAGGATTCAAAACATTAATATTATATGCCTATCACCCATAGAGCAAATTTGGGTGCATGAAATGAAATATTGAAGTTTATAGGATCTCGTGAATGGTAGAAATGAATTATATGAGTGATATATTTTATATTAAAGTTGTATATGGGTGGTAAACATATAATATCAATGTTTTGAGTATTAGGTATGTAAATAGCATGAAATAAACTGGTATGGATGCAAATTCCATTAGTTAGTTAGTTGGATGTAGTAAAAAATCAAAATAGATTTTAAAATATAAAGATACCTTCAAAATTCCATAAAAATGATAATTGCATTTTTCACACTTAAAAAGAAGCAAAAGCATAATTACTATTTTCTAAAACATAAATTTCAAATGCAAGTAGCCAACAG